ACTTTTTTGTCGTGCACGACTTGTAGGACTTATGTACGGAACATACTCCCCCCGTTGAGAGAGTCAACGATCAATTCGGTTTCGCTCAATACATTTCGCTTGTACGCTTGACTTAAATTAGGAGACGATATTACGCCGAGTGTGAAATAAGGCTGGATCACGGCTCCATCGGTAATGGACAGAGACTTCTTACAGGTCTTGTCATTTCTTCGGAGGACGTCATGACGGAGGCTGTTCGTATCACACCATCATCTCCCGGATAAAGTCTCGTGATCTGGCCAACCCATTGTGTGCTTGTCCTTGATTAAGATCATGGTTCCCATGTTTAGTTGCGGACCGTCCTTGGACCACTTGTGACGTACTTGGAGTTCATTTAAATACTCCAGATACCAACGTGCCCAAAAGTCTTATCTCATTTTCGTTATGTGTTGCCATGTAGACAGACGGTTGGCTGGAACACATGTCAAATTACCCTCCGGGAGGGCAGTTAGAGGCTTGCCAATTAAATAATGTGCCGGAGTTAGAGCGGACGTGTCATTGGGATCGGACGAAAGTGGTATGATTGGCCGGGAATTTAAAATCCCCTCGACTTCGGCAGTGAAAGTATTTAATTCTTCGTGTGTAAACAACGAATCTCCTATCACGCGTCGAAAATGGTGTTTGAATAGTTTCACAGTGCTTTCCCACAGTCCACCGAAATGTGGAGCTGCCGGAGGTATAAAGTGCCATGTTATTCGGTGGTCGCTTGCGAAACTGTTTATACGTTCCTTGTGAGCTTCGGAGTTAAAAAGGACGTACATTTCCTTTAGTTGGTTATTTGCGCCTACGAAATTAGTTCCGTTATCGGAGTAAATCTGCTCCGGAAATCCTCGTCTCGCGGCAAATCGTCGTAGTGCGGCTAAAAATCCATCAGATGACAAATCGGTCACGACTTCAAGATGTACGGCCTTGATGGACATGCACACGAATATGCATACGTAGACTTTAATGCGCGTCCTGTTACGAAATTTTCGCTCCTTAATGTAAAACGGTCCGCAGAAATCGACGCCGGTATTGGAAAACGGAATTGCCTCGCTTACCCGTGCTATAGGAAGGTTTCCCATTTTGGGTTCAACGGTGTTGGAATCGAATCGAAAACAACGTATACATTTACGCACAATTTTTCGAACTTGGTTCCGACCATCGAGTATCCAAAACCTCTGCCGCACAGCTGCTAATGTGTGTTGAATTCCCGCGTGATGATTCGATTCGTGCGTTTCGCGGATAATGACGTCGGTTAAATGATTACGATTTGGGAGGAGAATCGGATGCTTCTGAGCAAATGTCAGTTTTGATCCTTGAAGACGACCTCCAACCCTAATTATACTGTTTTCGTCTAAGAATGGATTGAGATTAAGAATTTTGCCCTTTCTCACGTGGTTTTTAGTTTTGAGATCTTCAATGTCATTGTGAAAATGGATTTTTTGTAAAAGTCTTAAAATCTGTGTTTCGGCCTCGATAATTTCTTGAGTACACGGCGTTCCTTTATATTTATTGGTGGGACGACACCGACGGCAATACGCAATGATCCTACATAATTTGGCATAAGATGAAAATCTACCTAAAATTCCTAGATCGTCAGATACCGATACCAGACATGTGTTTTTCTTTAATTCCGGAATCTTGCATGTTTGAATGATTTCATTAGGCCAGTCATCTTCATTCTTAATTAACCAGGACGGACCGGTGCGCCAATTCTGATTTTGTACAAAGGCTAGAGGTAATTAACCCCTTGAGAGCGCGTCCGCGGGATTGTCATGTGATCGAATGTGTCTCCACTCTATTGTTTCGGTAAGGTCTCAAATTTCTATAACCCGATTGGCTACGAATGTTTTGAATCGATGCGGTTCGGTTTTTAGCCAGTGTAGCGTTATGGTTGAATCACACCAAAAAATTATTTTATTAGGAGTGCAATTCAGTGCATCGATGATTTCGCGGTACAATCGCGCTAATAATAACGCTCCACAGAGTTCCAGTCGTGGAATGGTTACGGGTTTTAGAGGTGCGACTCGCGATTTGGCGCATAACAAACGAGACGAGTAATCTTGATCTCCCCTCGACCGCACGTAGAGACATGCGCCGTATCCCACGTTGCTAGCGTCGCAAAAACCGTGGATTTGTCGGAGTAGTTCGTTGTCAACAATTTGCGAGGAAAGGATATTTGATCCATTATTTCCCACTGACGCGTGAACTCTAACCATTCGTTGTATATAGTCTGTGAGACAGGTTCGTCCCATTGAATGGGGACCGCCAAACGTTTTGGATTAATCTCTTGGCGTAGAGAATGACCGGACCTAATAAACCAATCGGATCGAAGATTTTCGCGATTTCCGAAAGAATGTTTCGCTTTGTCACTTGCTCAAAGCGCTTAATCGGATTGGTTGAGTAGCATATTTCGTCATCTTGTGTATTCCATATTAGACCTAAAGTTTTCAACGCGCGATCTGCATTTAATGTGAAGCTCACGTGTAGCGCATTCGTCTCTAAATCGTTTATAATACGTTCGTCATTAGACGCCCATTGTCTAATAACGAAGCCGCCGCGCGCTAATAATTCGGTCACCTCATCCCGGATTTTTCGGGCTTTATCGATAGTTTCGGCGCCCGTCAACAAATCATCCACGTATAAATGCGATTCAATGATATCTGCGGTTGCAGGATAATTTTGGCGTTCGTCTTCGGCTAATTTTTTGATTACGCGGATCGCTAAGAATGGAGAGGAAGAAACCCCGAATGTAAGGACGTTGAGTTGAAACGTTCTGATCGCGCCGTCTTTACGCCATAATATCCGCTGATATCGACGATCATCTTCATGTACTATAATAGCACCTGACGGTACATTTTCTCGATATCAGCGGAGATGACATAATTATAAGTGCGAAAATGGATCAAATGTGAGAATAATTTGTCTTGTATTGTGGGGCCTGTCATCAACATATCGTTCAAAGATACACCGGAATTGGATTTTGCTGATGCGTCGAACACTATGCGAACCTTGGTGGTTTCACTCGATTCCTTTGTCACCGCGTGATGTGGCATGTAGTAACCGTCGTCATCCGGTTCCTCGATCATCGACATATGTCCTAATTGCAAATATTCTTCAAAAATCCGTTCGTACTCGGTTCTTAGGGACGTATTCATATTGAGCTTGCGTTCTAACGATAATAAACATTTGAGCGCTGTTGTTCGAGTTGCTGAGACGTTTATCTGTTTTGATAAAAGGTAAGCGAACTACATAACGTCCATCGTCACGACGTGAGACGGTGTTTAAAAAATACGATTCGCATTCGATTTCCTCTTTCGATCTCGCCCTCTCCTCCGAAATGTCCTCTATCAACCAAAATTTCGTTAATTGATTTTCTAAACCCGTCATATAGCACGTATTTTTTGATGACGATTGTGGTGAAGCACCGCCAGCGATCACCCATCCTAAGCGCGTGTTTTGGAGATGCAGATCGTACCCTTCGCGGGATAGATCAATTTGTCCGTCGGAAAATAAAGACAACGTCGCGCCCGAGCCTATTAATATCTCGACGGGTCGCGGCAGATGGAACTCCGGATCTGCTAATTTGATGCCTGACGGTAAAGTTAATGAACCTCGCGGGAAAATTTCCGAAGACACTAAATCTGTAATAGTCGGTATCGTTAAGCACACGATGGTTTTGGAGAAACTTTTATCTAACGATTGTATGGCAATTTCCACTATACCCTTCGATACAGTATTGACAGCGTTGATCGCGCTGATCGTTGATGATTTTTTTATTATCCGCACTCCTAACCGCTCCACGATGGATTCCGTGATAAAGTTTGTAGTCGCGCACGTGTCTAAGAGTGCTCGACATTCGATACCAACATGAGTGTTACGTTTGGAGTTGCATATATATATTAATGCACTTGTTAGAAGCTGTGGAGTAACGTATGGTATAGTTAATGCAACGAGACTCGGTGCGCTGCGATCGGATAAAATTGATAGTCATTTAGATTGAATGTTCGTGGAATTAGACAGATCCGTTTTGTTCGCGTGATTGTCGTTATGCAACAGGGTGTTGTGACGTTTCTGACATACCGTACAATTTGAGAATTTACACGGTACCTCGTAATGAGAGGTAATTGAAGCATAGTTTCGCCTTTCACACCATGTCGATACGTTCTGTCACGGCTAATTGTTTAAATACGTTACACGTATAAAGCGGATGTCGTTTGCCTTTACACGCAATGCAATTGCGCGATGCCTTTACTACAAGTGCCCGATTCGACGCGTCGAATTTCCTCTTCTTGAATGGCGGTTCGTACTTGCTCTTATTTGTTTCTGTTGATATCGGTCGCTCCCGTATCGACGCGCACACCGCTGTTTTGTATACGAATTCATATAAGTCTTCGAGTTTGGGAAAGGTGTCTCTCACAAGCGTCGACTGCCATTTATCTAACGTCGCTTTCGGTAATTTGCTTTCTATGAGATACACGATCATCTCTTGTCCGATTGTGACGCCTAACGTATTTAATGCCGCGATGTGTTGCTGAGCATCGTCAGCGAGCTTTGTCAAATCGCTTGTATTTTCCTTGTCTAACATAGGCAAATTTACCATAGCCGCGAGGTGTCGCATGATTAGGATCCGTTTCACTTCGTACGAACGCTCAAGCAACTCCCAAGCCTTCGTATAACTCACCCCGTCGATCGCAAATATTTTTATTTTATTGCCGGCCTCATCTGTTAACGCGGATTTCAGATAATGTAATTTGTCGACGTCTGTTAAATCCGTTTGCGCGCCAATCATAGAAGAGAACGTGTTTTTGAACGACAACCAATTTTCAAATTTGCCATCGAATGTCGGGAGAGGAGCTTCGGGAAGTTTGACGCGTCTTTTTTTGAACGTTGTTGCTGTTTCCGTGTTCTCGATTCGGATTTCGTCACTCGATATACCGTCGTCCTTATTCGCTATATTCGCCGCGCTCAACTTATTCTCGACGTTGCCCGCGAGAGTGTAAAATCGTTCTTGTATATTAGAGAATTCGGAATGATGAACGTCGCTCGGATCTAACACCGCGAGCTCATCACTATACTCTTCAAACGCGTGGTATAGTTCGGTTAAACGCGTGATACGTAATCTCAAGGTTTTGCCGTCTATTTTGTCTTTGTCGAGGAGATTGGCCAGAGTCGTGATCTGCGACTTTAGCAACGTCCGCTTTTGCACGAGGAGTTTAATTTTGTCGGCCATTATTATATGATTTGTGATAGATTGAAATCGGATAACTTACTGTGCGAACGATATCATTAGATCAATGTAAAATATCGTTCGAAAATCCCGCCAACCAGGAATATCAGCACTCGATATTGCGTCCAGTGGTCGTCTCCTTCGTGTGGTAGTCCGGATTGTATGCGGGTTTCCGTGAACCTCACAGGAGGCACCAAATGTTTTGTTGATATGTATTTAATAATGGATGATCATATGACTTACAGACACACACATATATGTTTATAGTTATGAGTTAAATTTATATAAATGTTCACAAGTTCCGCATTGCATATATTTTAGATATAGACACCGCCTGGGGGATAATACCCTGAGTCACTTCGTCGCGGACACGTGATAACTGAAATTCGTATCACGTTGGCTCTAATTACAATTATTCGCGTAAACGTATTCCGTGAAGGAGCCGATCTTTTCCGTGGCACGGGTCGATTTTGACTGAATCCCTTCGTTGATTCCCGATGGTCGTTCGCCCTCGTCGTATTTCCCGAAGTTTCCCGAGTCTTGTTGATCGATAGATCACAGAAAGCCGCGAAATTGACGACTGCGACAACGAGATGACCGATGTGCGGCAATTCGAGCGCCGACAAGGCAAAGGAACTCTTCAGTTCGCGATCAAAGATGCCGACTATGTTCCCCAATACCGCGTTGTACACCTTTGAAGTCATACCGCGTGCCTTCGCTCCTTCGCGGTACGTGTGATTATTGGTTAATATAAATGTATGTATGTGTATGTATGATTGTACGAGCCGTCCGCTGTACGCTTACTTTTTTGTCGTGCACGACTTGTAGGACTTATGTACGGAACATACTCCCCCCGTTGAGAGAGTCAACG